ACAATCAAGTCACCATTTATATAGAATTGTAATCATAATTTTTATCACTTGGAGTTTGACACTTTGAGTATATAAATTGTGCTCAATATTTCCACACAATAGTGCTGTTATCAGCTCAATCTAATTTTATATTTATCTTACATATTATGTTGAGTTATTATATTCATAACTATGTTGACTTGGCTGTTTATCAAATAGGGCTAGTCAGAATTATACTGTCTTGTTATTTACACATCTATTTTTCTCACTGTACTGTTAGGCCATGAAGAACATGGGTTTGACCTGCATAGGTCCACGTTTTTTCAACAAATACACTGCAATTTCTTTTTTGACTATTTTTGACCATTTAAAAGAAACGCGCAGAACCACAGTTTAGAAACATGCTTTAAAAATGTCATGAGGACATCAGATAGAAGTATATTCTTGTCTATTGAGACATTTACTATCATAAAGATATACAAATCTATCATAGAAAGGTAAACTTATAATTTATGCACTTACAGGGTATATATGGAACCATCAGCAGTTGGGAAATGTGTAAATGAATGTAAAGATGCACTATTAACTCATAATGGCATAAAATTAGCTATGACACAAAGTGTATCAGTCAACATTTTGGAACCACTTACTGCTGCCAGGTGATTAATGCAAGTATTGCGAGATTCTGTTTGACAAACCATGATCACATGGTTAATGTTTTCCATATGAGCATTTAGTCTCTCCAGAGTGAATCAAGGAAATTACAAAGAATCATTGTTTTTATGGCAAAAGAGTGGAAAGGGATGTGTTTCAAGATATAAATGCTGAAGATATTCCAGAGCCCAGAACCCACACCACAGTACTTAGAGGTAGATAACATGAGGGGACAAGTGCTTCCAACACAGTGCCAGATGACTAGAAATGAAACAAGAGACTGGGCATGGTGACTCATGCCTATAATTCCAGAACTTTGGGAGGCAAAGTATAGCAGACTGCCTTAGTCTAGGGCTTCCAGGCCAGCCTGAGCAACTTGGTGAGACCTTGTCTTAAGAATGAATCCAAAACTTGGCTGGGCATGATGGTAAACGTTTGTGACACCAGCTACTCAGGAGGCTAAAGGAGAAAGATGGCCTGATACCATCACATTGAGGCTGTAGTGACTCTGGATTTTCCACTGTATTCCAGCACGGGCATCAGAGTCAAAATCCAACTTAATATATAAGTATTTACAATAGTCAGGATTTAGAAAGTTAGGTCTCATAGTTATACTCCTGTATAATCTTTATTACAATAATCAAAATGATATTTAACTAAACAGAAAGGAAGAAAATATGACCTATAAAAAAAGGATCACTAGAAACATCCTTCCGTAAGTTCCTGAATGGTATATGGTCATCATATACCTACAATCTTGGGTAAGATAGAATAGATTAACACTTATGGCAACATAACAATTTATTGGGTGGACAACAAATGTTAATACTTTATAAACAATTCTTTTCATTAAAAGTAACAAATTTACATAGCCTAAATAAACCTTCAAATTTCACTGTATGCAAAACCATATTACAAATATTCAAGCATTTCTGTCCTTCTGATAGTGTGATCCATGTGTGAAAAACTTTCTTCAGTTTTAAAAACTGAATCTGATTATTTACTAAACATAAACTTATATACATTTTAAGAGAGTAATTATCTTTGTTCTGATATCTATGAAAATATTTCTTTATATTATATCAAATTACACTTATGGCTTGTAATTATTGATAGTATGAAGATGCATCAAGATATTAATGTTCTGGCCTCATTTTCTTATTTGCATGTAAGTAGTAAGACAAATGATTTCTAAAACTCTCAATGATTCTTTGTCATTTATTTCCAAAGGTAAGTGTTATCCTGAGCACTCACCTCATTCCGAACTTACAATAATGCTTAATGTGAGCCACAAAAAACCTCTTCACTTCGATCTTTTAAAAGAGATTACATACCAGTGTTCTTCATCCTCCATGAAAAACACGAGATGAGTGCTGATGACCTACTATACAAGGACATTTCATAGCTCTAATGTACCAAACAACTGACCCCATGCATTTATTTAAACAGTACGAATGAAGGCATAGCATCGTGGGAGTTGTGTTACATCAATATTGTTTGCTTTTTAAAATATCCTCAAATTCTATCAATGTAAAACCAAAATTATACAGAGAATATACTTATGGTTTCCTAAAAAACAAACAACAAACCATCTTCTAATGCCACTCAATATTTGATATTTATTTCAACTTACATTCATTAAATAAGCTTTCATATAAATTGCATCTGTAAAGTTTTCAGTCTGAATACCCTAGTATTTACAATGGCATATATTTTAAACAAAGGCCAGTTCACATTCTTTAAATTTGTAGATTTTCTACAATGCACAGTCTAATGTCAAATAAAGTTTTGGCTGGTTAATGTCTTTAGGCATGTTTTACATTTGTACATTCCAAAGATCTGTGGTTTGAGTAAAGATAATGGTACTCTTTAAATCTGTAAATTTCTCACCATGTCTCTATTGTTTATAACTAGATTTATGATTTTCCCATCAGTAGAGATACTGAAAATTTAGAATATAGATTGTCTGATGTTGAGAAAACTTGGAATAACAGTGAAAAGGTTTACACCATTCTGCCCACCTATAGGGAATCCCTAAATATAGATGCTCGTATGTCAACCAAATATTGAATGAAAGCTAAAGTCTTTATCTCATTCCTCTCATTTATGTAGTTTCATCTCAGTGTGGATTCTCATATGTCCAACTACTTGTATATGAGACCAAAGGGCTTACCATGTTTTTCACATTTGTAGAGTTTCTCTCCAGTATGGATGATTATGTGTCCAGCAAATCTGTTGTGAGGGTGAATGGCTATGTCACATTCTTCACATTTGTAGGGTTTCTCTCCAGTATGGATCATCTTATGTCCACCAAATCCATTGTGAGAGCAAAAGGCATTTCCACATTCTTCACACTTATGGTTTTTCCCCAGGATGCACCTTGATATATCCAGCAAGCTTTGAATGGGTGCAAAAGGCTTGGCCACATTCTTCACATTTGTAGAATTTCTCCCCAGTTTACATATCTTATGTCTGCAAATCCTACATGAGAGTGAAAGGACTTGCCACATCTTCACACTTCTAGGATTTCTCCCCAGTATGCATGGCCTTGTGTCGATAAAATCCAGAGTAAAAGTGATAGGCCTTGCCACATTCCTCACATTTGTAGGGTTTCTCTCCAGTATGGATCACTGTATGTTGAGTAAGATTTGAACGAGTCGTAAAGGTTTTGCCACATTCTGCACATTTAAAGGGTTTCTCTCCAGTATGGATATGCTGATGTTCAATAAGTCTCCTGTCCTGAGAAAAGCCTTTGCCACATTCTGCACATTTGTAGGGTTTCTCTCCAGTATGGATCACTGTATGTCGAGTAAGATTTGAACGAGACGTAAAGGCTTTGCCACATTCTATACATTTAAAGGGTTTCTCTCCTGTATGGATATGCTGATGTTCAATAAGACTCCCGTCCTGAGAAAAGCCTTTGCCACATTCTGCACATTTGTAGGGTTTCTCTCCAGTATGGATCACTGTATGTCGAGTAAGATCTGAACGAGAATTAAAGGCTTTGCCACATTCTGCACATTTGAAGGGTTTCTCTCCAGTATGGATACGCTGATGTACAATAAGACTCCTGGGCTGAGTAAAGCCTTTGCCACATTCTACACATTTGTAGGGTTTCTCTCCAGTATGGACCACTGTATGTCGAATAAGATGTGAATGAGACATAAAGGCTTTGCCACATTCTGCACATATGTAAGATTTCTGTCCATTATGGACCAGTGTATGTCGAGAAAGGTTTGCATGAGAGTGAAAATCTTTACCACATTCTTTACATTTGTAGGGTTTCTCTATAGTATGGATCGTTGTATGTTGAGTAAGGTGTGAATGAGTTTGAAAGGCTTTGCCACATTCTTCACATTTGTAGGGTTTCTGTCTATTATGGATCAATGTATGTTGAGAAAGGTTTGCAAAAGAGCAAAAATCTTTGCCACATTCTTCACATTTATAGGGTTTCTCTCCAGTATGGATCACCATATGTCGAGTAAGGTGTGAATGAGTTTGAAAGGCTTTGCCACATTGTTCACATTTGTAGGATTTCTCTGCAGTATGGGTCACCATATGTCGAGTAAGGCGTGAAAGAAACTGAAAGGCTTCGCCACATTCTTCACATTTGAAGGATCTCACTCCTGTATGGGTCACTGCATGTTCAGTAAGATGTGAATGAGAGTGAAAGGCTTTGCCACATTGTTCACATTTATTTATTTAGTTAGTTATTTATTTATTGAGTTGTAGTCTCACTGTCACACAGACTGGAGTGCAGTGGCCACTCCCGGTCACTGGAGCCTCGAACTGCTGGGCTCCGGCGATCCCTCCAGCTCAGCCTTCCAAGTATCCGGAACTACAGGTGTGCACTACCATGCCCGGCTTATTTTTTTGATTTATTGTAGAGATGAGGTCTCACCAAGTTGCCCAGGCAGGTCTCAAACCCACGGGCTCAGGCAATCCACTCACCTCAGCCTACCAAATTTCTGTGATTACAGGCTGAGCCATTGAACCCAGCTCATTCTTCACATTTATAGAGTTTCTCTCCACAATAAATTTTCTTATGTTGTGAATGATATGAGTAATAGCTAAGGGCTTTGCCACAGTTTTCACTTTTGAAGGCTCTCCCCCCCATGGATACTTTCATGTCTATTTAGATAGGATGATTTCTTAAACACTTTCCCACATATATTGTATATATTTCTCCACTATTTTTTTTTTTTGATGTTGTCTACATTTTGAGGACCGGTTAAAGGTTTTGCCATATTCTTGTTTAAAAGCCATTTCAGAAATATGGATACTCTAGTGGATAACAAATTTGGAGTGTTAATGAAAGACTTTCCTACTCTTGTTACATTTGTATTGGTTATTTGCAACTGAGCATTGTATTTGCCCTTCACCTTCATTCATGCACACTTACCCAAGATTTTTGTAAGCATAAGTTCTTAAAGACATATTTACCATATTTTCCCATTGGCACCTTTGCAAGTGAGTCTTCTATGCTCTTCTCTGGCAAAAGTCCTTCAGTGTAATGAGAAGTCACAGCTGAAAATCATGAAAATAAAAATTTATTTCACATGCAAGACTCAGGTGACTATCCTTTGAAAATAAAACACAATATTATACCATGGTAAGAACATAAGTATGATGGCAAGTACAAATCACAAGTTTCCACTCCATCATAAATATATGTACTTAAGAAAATACTTACCCCATTGCCTGTGTGAGAACTCAAAAAACAGCTAAGACTTTGCAGAATCCACATGATAAAATGAGTTACATTAAAGAGAAAATTTAGTAATTTTGCCAAGATAATGTCTCTTCCTTTACAATGTAGCATGATGTAATCAGATGGGATGTTCTAACTCTTGAATTCTTCCTCAGGGAATTAACAGAAGAGTGGAGTATGAGTCCACACTTCTGTCCTTTGAGGGTTTATGCAAAGACTGGTTTCTGTTCCAATGTACAGAGAAGACACACCCTAAGAACAGGTATGAGTCTCCTAGAATCTCTAACTTAGTGATTGGTGTTATATTAATCTAGACAAAGCAACATCATAAACATTATGATGTGTATATCTTTGAATTTCAAATACCCCAATTCAAAAAAAGTATGCCAAAGCATAGAAAGAATCAGGATAAATGACTCAATTAAGGGTGCAAAAATAATTTATGGAGATGCAAATTATTAAAATGTTTGAGAAATTTTCATATGAAATGTAGAAACGCTTACTTGAATGACCACACTACTGCGTAGGTGACAGAGAACATGCTGATAAAACGTAATCATAAAAAGGATTTGGTGGTACCGGGAAACTATGGGGGGAGGGGGATGGGATTAACAGTAGCAAATATCTGTCGGGGGGATGGGAAAACACTTCTTATCTACAGGGTGCCTGAATGAAACGTCATTGTACACCTAACCCTTAACTGTACCCCACAAAACCATAATAAAAAATACTGATTAATGAAAAAAAAAAGGATTTTGATAACATCCTTGATATTGATATTGGTCTCAGTAATAATTTTTTTATGACTACAGAAATAAAAATATATATGAACAAGTTGGGGACATCAAACTGAAAAGCTTCTGCAGACTAAAGGGAAAAGGAAGAAGCCTTACAGGACAAGAAAAATATCTGCAAACCATATACTTGATGAGATGTTAAAGAAAAAAAATCATAATCTCTTGAATACAAAACAGCCCAAAAGCCGGGCTCAGTGACTCAGCCTGTAATCCCATGCCTTTGGGAGGCTGAGGTGAGCAGATTGCCTGACCCTGCGGGTTCGAGACCCACCTGGGCAACGAGACCTCATCTCTACAATAAATCAAAAAATCAACCAGGCGTGGTAGCACATGCCTGTAATTCCGGCTACTTGGAAGACTGA